AATATGGCATGTACGTAAGTTCAATCCCACGAAACAATCAGCTCGGACCAGTTAAGTTGCAATTCGCATATACACACAATTTGACCATTAGCCTTTACCGTAACCAGTATGTAGAGCGTACGTGAATACGCGTTTCTGAGGCCTGTGTCGTGTGTACAAATCCTTAAGGCGTTTCGTAAACGAACAAATTATTCCTTTGAATCTATAAAACTAAGAGTATATTTTATGGATAATTTAGCCGGTATTGATGATTATTCTTTTGCTTAGGAGTCTCTAAAAGGATCTGCTTTTTTCTACGCCACCGAGTGTTTTGACCCAGGAATTAACCGTGTAGAGCAAATGATTTTTTCTCGCTCGTCGAACGGCTCTTCGAACGAGTTCATCGTTTTCTCATTTTCCTCTGTTTGACATAGGTTAAGGAAAAACAAAATCGATGCAAAGAAACTTTACTGCTGCAGGAATCCAGCGGAGAACCAGCTCGTCAGCATGACGCCAAACACGGCCCTCTCTCACACAGCATTGTGAAGGCGACGGGTAGACGTACCATATGGGACAAAGGATTTCGCTAGAAGGAAGTTTAATCTCAAATCCGGTGATGGATCGAATGGAGAAAGGAACCATTTGGTTCGAAAAAGCCGCACCGTCGGCCACCGTCGTTACGGACACATACACGAACAGCTGCGGACGAAAGTGGCTCGATTAAAGCCAATAGGGAGACGAGAGTGTACATGTAGATATACTGTTATATGTTCTTCAAAAATCTTACCTTAAACTAATACAACGAAACGTCATTGGCGCTATATAATCCGATCGTATCTCTAGACTCCTGTATTCATGACCGTCAACCAACTGGAGTGCCTTTTCGAGTCGTTAAGTTATTCTAATTCATCACGCATGTTTGTCAGCACTTTAATACACTACAACACTGCGACCTCAATTGAAACATTTACCTCAGCAGAGCAGAAACAGCCTGACAGGTTCTTATTGAAAATACGTACTACGGTCGCTTATCTCTAGCATGCATGCGAGTTTATAGGACATATTTCCTACAGCGCTCCTATTCGCAAGACGATCGCTGTACTATACGAAACATGGATTTTATGCCAAAAATCGAAATTATGCCAAAGAACGCAGTCATCAGAATTGCGGATCCTGATCACCATAATACTGAGCAGCATTTAAAAACAAGTTCGGACATTTTCACTTCTAAGCATTGCTAGGCGACTTCATTTTCCTTTCGCCTTTACCTTTATGGTAGTAATACATTTATTGAACAGTTAGAAACTGTATATTCTACGCAAAGGGTACAATCAACATCGAACTAGATTTGAAACTAGAACATCTGACAACTAGAAATAATGCGGACAAGATTCCCGAATTGTTCGATCCGAAATTACAGTTAGAAGACGTCTTTAAGACAGCGCTTTTTCTTCCGTATACACTGACTCGTAAAATCCTTGCGTATAGAGTAGGCTTACTAAATAAGGGGTTGACATAAACCTTACGTCTCATTTCCTTGTCCTAGGCGTACCACTATAACAATATTTTGGAATCTTAGAAATGAATACAATCAGCCTTTGAACCTGTCTAAACCGCAGTATTTTTTGAGTAACCGAAGGCCTTTTAAAAAAAACCCTAATTTTATTTCAATGTACTCAGTTCAAAATGGAATATTAGATGGTCCTGAATAGTGTCACTAGCTTTATTAATACATCATCTGATTAAAAGTGTCGTTCGTAAGTTAAAACTTACTATAATGCGTGATAAATATGTTTTTCATTGCCAAGACAACCTAAAATAAAATCATTAGGTTGCCTCTCAACTTCCGAGCCAAAGAACTAGATCTAATTCAAATTGACCCACAGCCAGACTGTTCACAACTTAAGGGAACGACATTTACTTAAAAATATATTGTATATAAGACCATTGACTTCCTGGGAAATTCAGAAGTCTTCCTTATGAGTTAAGTATATGTATGATATTATTCATAGGTGTATTCGATATATGAGAAAAGAAGACGTTTTTCAAAGGTTTAATGGCTTGAAGGTGTTAAAGGTTTAATCGAACTATCACAGTCTCCTGATATCAGTACTTCAGATGCACCGAATGTATGAGCCGATTTTTTTTGTGTTTAAATGATGCCTAAATCAATAGTTTTTCAATACTTTCTGGTCGACAGTATTTACGAGGATTTCTAGAAGTCCAGCGGGTTTGCTCGATACCGTAATAAGTTTCCTTAGGAATACTGAGACGTCGTTCAAACCCCTGCTGCATTGTCTGAGATACGATAACTGTCAGTTTCTTTCGAAGATACAACTTCATCACAGGCTCGTCAGGTGCTTTGAATGGCGTCTAACGCTTTTGACAGCGATACAGAATAATTTTTACAAATTCGAATGTTACATGGATCAAAAACGCGATGCTACGGCGTTTCTTGAATGTTCGCCGTATTCCACAGGAGTGTACTAAAAAGTATTATGGGACTTCAAAAATTAACCGGGGATCCCTTCGAATATATTGCATACTTTTAGTAAGACCATAAAAAAGCCCTCATAGCATCATGTTTGCTTAGTTGGTACTATCACTAGATCTAAAAGTACCACAAAAAACCTTTGTTGATTTTTTTGTGATTCACTACAGCTTATTCGCTTGAAACCCATAAGACGTGATTCGGGTGAACGGCCCCAATTTTAAGAGGCACAAAAATATACTACCTAAAAAAAGCGTGTCGTCAAATGTCGAGCCGTCATGTAACAACGTCATACTGCAATATGAGATGAATCTTTATCATATTTCATACCGAACAATTTAATACGTTATACGTAATATTGGCACAAACTGCCACAGGACGTATTACGTATTTTCAATAGCATATATATATATAGTACCGAGCTCGTTTTCCCGTATGCCGAGAAGCGAGCCCCATTTACTAATACATAACGGGATGAATAATACAGTCTTCCGACTAAAACGGCTGTAACAGTATGTAATGATGCTTTATCATCATTTACTCTACTTACATGATGACGATATTGGATGTTCACTTTTAGAGCTAGACTTTCCCACCAGTTGCCGTTGATAATAGAATACCTACAGGTTTAATATAGGCTTGATATATATATGTATTTCGTTGGCCTGGTAAATGATCTGGGTTGATTTTTGTTTTTGTTCGAACGTTATCTATACCCATTGTAAATTTAGCGTAATACTTAGCTTTTTCCGTTAGCTAAAAAAAGCATCCCAAATAAGATTTTCCGTGTTAATTATTAAATGTAATATCTCATCTTTGCATGCCCTCTTAAGCAGCGATGTGGTACTATTAAATCATCTTGAACTTGTTCTCGTTCCGTTATTTGCCTTACGGCTAGTGTATGGTCTACCCAATTGCAGGGAGAAGGTACTATTTTGCGGAAAAATTACACCACCCCATTCTGGTGACAATTTTGTTTTTGATTTCTAACATATATAAAAGTATATTTCCGCCGCTTCCTTGGACGCCGGTCTTGGAAGACATATGGCCGTTCGGGTATCTCAAGCTAAGTCGCGATATGTATCGTCTTTTAGTTGGTTCATTTGATCAGCCTTCTGGGCCGCTTTCTACCCCACTCTAATGAATTATGTAACATTTTTCAAGAAAAACATAAGTTCACCGTCGAGCCTTTCTTTCTGTTTGTTACAAATGGATCTATTGGTTGACTTTGCTGCATTTCGTAATTCATCGATATTTTAAATAATCGTGTTGCTCGAATGCTTCATGCGGAAACACGCTGGTTCGTTGTATGGCCTGTTGTGGTAGGTCAGTTGTTTGGGAAATTTTTCCTTGTCAATGGTACATAAATCAGAAGAATCGTCCTCAATGCTTCATCTAGCGTAACATTGACTATGTAAGTTGTACTAAGAAGTTAAAGAGATCTCTGTTTCTGAACGGTTGACGTAGTTGGTGGCAAATTATGGAATTGTTTCGAAGGTCCGCGTATGCGCTAGCCTCTCCTTGTTATCTACTCTTATTGTCATGTTTTTTTTTTAGTGCCACCATCGAACTTCACCTAGTAAAGCTGAAATCGATAGTAATTTCTGCGTTTTGTCACTTCGTTTTAATCGACAAACTGAAATACGTATTACGAACCCTTATATACATACACCTTGTCCTAACACAAATAAGACCAATTTTTGTTAGATGCTTCAGATCATAAGTATTTTCAGTGTCTGCAAGTGTGGCAAAAAATAGCTTTTCCAATTAATTTCGTCCTTTCACTAGGTAAAAAAATTGTCCAGGCAGCGCAAGGTATTTATATCATGTGCAGTGTGAACTCCGCGCTGAAGAAGACTGTCTGAACGTGTTTTACGAGGTTTAGTAGTGGCATCTTTGAATGACAAACTGTGTCCTGACCATCGGCCATCTGAGACTAAGAGGGGCCGAATGAAGGCAGCTGTAACTATAGGCAGGCGCTGTAGAAATATGAATCGAGAACACTTTTACCTACACACAGTTGGAACACGAGTGCCCTATAAGCTGAGCTAATCATACAATTTTTGATTGGCTCTAGACATTCCGCCCAACACCGAGCACGCAACACGCAATCGCAATGATAAGTTTCTATGTAGAATCGTTACCGGTGGCGAGAAGTGGTGCCTTAGCATCCGAATGAATCAAGCGCGGGAACGAATCGGACACCGCAGCTCCAAGTTAAGTCAGAATTTTTTCCAAAAAAAGTACGACTTGCACATGAAAGGTCTTATGCACTGGAAATCTTATACGAAATAGAGTTTTGAATAATGAGCAAATGCTCGATATTTGAAATGTTGACATTTAATACGCCACTGGCTATTTAACAACGTAATCATAATCAACCTGTGTGAATCCATGATCCTTTCCATCAGCGTTACATTGTATCGTGTTTAGCCGTATATTGTCGAGGCGAGGGTGTCAGTATGCCCGATCCATGTGTGTGTGTGTGGGTGTGTGTGTCTGTGTGTGTGTGTGTGGGTGTGTGTCCTCGAGATGTGATTAAGAGCGCCACCTTCGTGCATCGTTCTCATAAGATGGTAGTTCTCGTTTACGGGACACGTTGTGAAACCGCTATCTCGTCCGCTAGTCGTGCGCCATACAACAACACTGCGTACGCCTTGAGCTAATACCATATGATTAACAGTATGGAAAGAATCGGTGTAGGAAAGGGAAAGGCGGGGATCGGCTGCTGACAGCTCGTTCGAATATCGCCTTAAACTTATCGAAAGCCAAAAGTGTTTGAATGCCTCTCAACTGATCCGTGTTGTGTCACACAACTTTTTAGTTCGCCACAGCTGAAACTCGTGCAGTTTCTATTAGTAGTCGAGTTGTGACGAATTAGCTCAACCATGTAGAGTCTGCATTTCGTGACGAAGTTCGGATACTACTAATTGAGTACCTATCATTCATTGTATTGTAGTAACCGGTTGAAGTGGATCCCGACTTTCATACATGTCAACACTTCAGGCTGTACTGGGTAAAGGTAAGTTAACTCTAAAAGTAGTAAATAGTGAGGTATACCGTCCATGCGAAATAGACGCTCGTGTCACAAAGTGTTTACACCTTAAAGTCACTATGGACAGCCGTGAATTTTCCAGCGACATAATAGTCGCTTATTCGGCAGAAATAGAATGTTTGCTCTCTGACTAAAACGGTCGTTTGTCGATAACGACCGTATTTGCTTCGGAAGCAGCTTAAGTTTTTGAAGCTTCTAACTTGCTGCTACCAAAGCGATCGAATCAATCTAGTTACGTTTACACGAAACTGAAGGTAGTTATCGTTAAATTTTACGTCGACTATATAGGGGCTAAGAGGGAACGCTCTCCACATGTATAGATACGAATCATAACCTAACAATGTCGATAAGCCGCTTATTGCCGTTACGCTGGCTGGCCCTTAAGCTGATAGAACTTTCATAATTTGCGCCGCAGGCTATAAACTAGTTACTGTTCCATCTATAGTCCAGTATTGCAATGGGGATGTCTGAAGCGATCGGTCATAGAGAAGCGCTTCTAGCTACTTAATGAAGGCATTAGCAAATCTACAGCATTTTGCTGAAGATGCAATGGCTTCGAAGTGAGGGTTTTATAAGTCAGTTTGCTATGGTGTGTTTACCTGTGCATGTCTACCTGCCACTTATACCATGCAAACGCTGCGTTCAGTCAGTCATAGACACTCACGCAACATAGGCAGAGTGATAACAGCACAGCACAAGGGCTAAGAGTCAATAGACAGGAAAATGATTTATCAACGGCTAAATACTTCGTAAACAATCGACGTAAAGACCGTCGCAACTTCAAGGCTCTCACAGGGTGTAAGTTCCGTATGTACGTAGAAACATATAGCTTACCATTTCGTACATTTTAGTGACGCTACGATTATATCTTTTCATTGCAGCCTCCCACGTTCAGGGTTCGAAAACGACAAAAAATATTCATCCCATCTATTCCCTCTCTAAACCTACTATATATAGGTGTAAGTTGGCTTTTTCGCGACAGAAGTTTTATCCGCGTACGTAACGAACGTTTTGTATATGTGTTGTATGCAACGTCTACTTGAACTGTTTCTCAGTAGAAAGAATGATACAAGTTTTTTACGTCTCTGAAGTAAATCTTTGTTGTTATTTGAAACTCGCATCTATTTTCCTGTACTTTAATTTCTTTTATTTTTATTATGAAGTTCTATAGTGGTATAACTATGATGGTGGTATGAAGTGGTAGAGAAAATGATGTATTTGACTAGGCGCATGAGCGTATGTCGAAAAGCTTATTTTAAGCATTTTATCGTTTTGTCAGTATCGACATACATGCCACCTAACTTATCGCATGTACTTACGTACGATAACTATTACTAGAGATGCGAAGTTTATTTTGGCTATTGCGACGTAAGCCGGTCGCGGTGAGCCTCGCTACGGCATCGTAATAGGATGCCCGGTAGCATAAACTGTTCCGTAGAAGCCTGGTACGTAGTTGAACGGCTAGTGTTATTATCAATTACACTTCCATATTAGATATAGATTGTTTTAATTCGCAGAATCCGCGACTATTTACCGCGTCAAGATAAACAACATGTCATGGTATTGTCTCACGGGTTTTTCTATCTGATACTAATGGAAAAGCGACGATGGGTGAAAAAAAGCAGCCAGGAAATGTTAGCGGACATACGCGTCTGTACGTATACGGAACTGGGCATTCAAGTCGACAGCGAGTATCATGACGTTAGCACTGACGTCAACTACTCTAAACACGCTCGTATAAACTAATTAATATATACCTCATATGAGTGCCTATTATAAATTTGTAATGTGTTGTCTATCCTGGAATAGTAAATTGATGCGTTTATACGGGAGATCATCCGTTATCGCCTGATTCCACTTTTAATAGGAATTATTCACCGGTAGAATGCAAACAGTGTTTCTTTGTATTTTATGGTATACCGGTAATGTAATTCTCCTATATTGTCTATAGTAAATACCTATTGATTTAAACACAGCGATCGAGCGACTCTTTTTGATTTAAGCGATACTGGCCACGGTCACAAGCTGGAATATGTGCATAAAAAAGATACACGACGAGAGAACGTACGTTCTATATATATATATATATATATATATATATATATATATATGTAAAACGACGTAATTTAGGTCTGAAATGCGTGCAGACACACGTAAGAACACTTTTCTGAAAGATGGACTTTTGCCGGCATCCGATCAGTGTCAAATAGAAGGTCATTTATTACGATATCATCCAGACGAGCAGAAGAAAGGAAAATCATCGGAACAGCCTTTACACCGAGTTGCTTTGCCGTAGGGCGGTATCAGCACTGTCTATGCATGAACCATATCGACTCATACAATGTTCTGTTTAACTGCCTAGCCCTCTTCGTTGCAGCACTGAGAAGTGTTCTTCCGGAGAAATTTTCAGCTTGACAAAACCATTGTTGTGACTGTTACCTTGGTATCAGTCAAAAAATACGTGCGAAAAGAATCAGTTCCGTCGAATAGAAAAGTGGGCCTCACGTAAGAAAGAACGGAATAGTGGTGCAGTTAATGGCATAGTGGCGCTGACTATAGGCGTAACGATGGTCGCTCGTATTCTCTTCCGCGAGCAATACCTCTACGAATGTAGCCTGCCCTCGATTTAAGGCTGTATGTATAGCGGTTTGTATAATGTATATAGTGAAACCTTAATGTCGTTTGCTTATCAAACAACAAATACAGTATCTGTATATTTCATTTATTTTCGAGGGTGCGGTAGCTTTAGTAATATTTTTAGTTCATCATTTCTAAGAATTTCTTTTTCTATAATATTGTAGGAGAAAGACACCTAATAGATCTAACACCTAATAGATGGAGTATATAGAGGAGTATATAGAAGAGGAGGAAATAATAAATGATGTATTCATTTAATCGGAAGCTACATAATTTATAGAACTTGCATTTAACTAATCCCCTCAGATAGACTATAAGATTAGTCGCAACATAACGTCACAATGTAACGAGAACCTGTAGTGCAGTAAACCTAGTTCCTTAGCCTTGCGAGGCGTAAAATACGTTTTTGTCATTCACTTTGCAATAAAAAAAAAAAAACAATGCAGAGAAAAATTAGCATTGCTCGTCTTACAGGCGGCTTTCTGCACACGCCCGCAGTCTTTCCCTTTTTCTGATGCGTATAATGGAATTCACGAAAGCAAAAGCTGCGGCAAAGCCATCTTGCAGTCTACTTACGGGTGAGCCGCATCGCTTTGACAAATCGTGAGCCCTTTGTCTGGTCTGTTGGGTCCGCTATCGCCTCCTGCCGAATTTTCAGTCACGGTCTTCATTTATAGCCCAATTGTAATAAGTTATCGCTGGTTGATTTCATACTGAATTGGCTGGCCGGCCGGCCGGCCCTCTCACTGCTCCCTTCGTTGCAGTAGCTGAGTGAAGCGGCGTCCTGGTTTCTAAGAACGAAAGGCTGGAAGTTTGCTACAGAAGTGCTAGCCAGTTTATAGATGGTGGCGTTTTTACCCCCTACTATCGACAATGGCGTGTGATGTGATTGACGATACAATATGCACAAATAATTCGCTGCTGGCACCGCAACACGAGAAAAAAAGCGTTATCCGACGCTTATTTTCTGTACGTTAAATGTATAAATTACGTTATGTATATTTCATACAATTACATATGTGTGTTACGTATAGATCGGCCAGGATTGTTTTGTCAACGTTGACCTATAAGAATTTCATCAAGGTAAACATTATTATCCGAGTTTCTAAATACAATGGACGCAGTGGATGATGCCTAAACGTGTCAGCCTATAAGTTCGTGCATAATAAGTGGATTTTCACCTTTTGATTTTCCATGAAGCAATACTGCGATAAATATCGCGGTGATTTTTCTGCTCCAAGTTCCTTATACTAAGACCTTTACTGTGATAGGTATTCGCAGTAAATCTAGGTAGCTGTATCGAGGCCTATTGAATATGGAACGAACCAGCTTCGGTAAACCCGCGAAACATCATCAGCTATTGGCGTTGTTATGAGCGTAGCGATCACGACGAATCTCAGATAGAGACAAAATTGAGATTGAAGAAGGCAGCTTGTACGCAGTTTACATGTCGATCAACTAAAGCTCGAAGGGTCCATGTATATCGGTTATGAAACGTTTTGACGCCTTATCACTCGTTCCGTGGCATCGTTTAATATATTCATCATATATTTAATGAATTCTGTATTACGATACGCGAACCATCTCGCGTCTCTCACGTTTTTATTTCGATCCATATCATATACGATTATAGGTAGGCTTTATGAAAGTAAACGAATGAACAATGCATATCGCCAATTCACTGCTATCTTTGAAATTTCCCTTCTGGCACCACCTGAGCGATTAGATTGCCCCATTAATCCGTACTGGTTGGCTCGGTATTTTCCATTGATTTGTGATAACTGCTTTACCACGTATACCTACAAGTAGTGGTGTAGCGAAAACTAGAAGTAACCAGTATCGAGTAGCGCGAAACTCAAGATATGCCCGCAGACTAGCGGTCATGAATTTGTGATGTCAAAAGAAGATTTGAAGAAGGTGTCAAACATCAACAGTCTTCACTTGATTGACTGGTTTTTTGATTTTTTTCAATGGAAATGACAAGTGCACTTGTACGATTTAAGTTAGTCGATCACCCTAGAAAATAATAAGTCAATCAAAACACATTTACTATTCAAAATAGCTAATAGTTTGACTCATTGAAACATGTTATGTCCGCCTTTCAAGCACCTTTCAGACTTTGAAAGGGTCATGGTGAATGAAGATGAATCATTTATCCATTAAAATGTGTGTGCGTAACATCGGTCCTCTATTCTTCTGTCCATCGAAAAGCTGTGCACCCTACAAACTTCTTTGCCGCGTCGTTTTTCTTTTGTTTATCTGGCCGTTTAATCTAGATGGGGTTACGGGGCTGCGGGTTTGCGTCCTTCGGTTTGAGCTATCTCCGAGGCGCAAGCCGTTGAAGTTGGCTACTGTCAACGCTGGCTGCGGACCAGAGGCGTCTGCAGCAGTTACTTTCTGAACGACGCTTTCGTCGAAATCTGGCTCGTTTTGACTTCAGAGACGGATAGTCACCGTGGAATGGGAAAAGCACAGTCAGAGATTTATGGAAGGAATGTAGTTGTTGATCTAAAGCAAATTCGATATTACATACGTTTACGGTACTTATCTCTTTTGCATAACCAAAGAAAGCTGGCAAAACAACGCGATATTGTACTGTTGAGCTCAGAGAACTCATTATTACGTAGAGTACGTATTCGTTCATGATTCGACAATGGAACCATCGAGTTCGGCCTTTTAAGAGGCTTTCAAATGGAGTTACTAGGTCAGAAGAACTATAATGTCAGTTAACGGAAAACCCTATTAGGTCAGCTGTCCAGCTTGGCACGTTCATTAACTCCTGCATAACTGCCATTACTCATCCAAACTGACGCGTCACAATGAAGCAGCGCTACGATAACTGACAGCCTAGAAATCACGTTCGAAAGTTGACAACGATGACTTGGGCCTTGTAAAATAGGACAATCTATTTTCACTTTTCATAATCTCAATTGAAATTAGCTATAAATTAGGAATATGGAATGTTGAGGGCAGTTTTTCTAGTTTCGTCTCCATAATATAATCAGCGACCGATACAAAATTAGAATAATTAACTTCCGTTTCGTCGTCATGAAATCTGGTTAGTGCGCCGCATTTTTGTAAGGACAAGTCTTCTCAAACTTAGCCTAGCGTTAGTTGGGCATCAAAACGAAAACGACGCCTGTTGGCCTGATACAACGAAGGTTAATAGACTAACTCATCTGCGTCAGTCAGGCCAAGGACACCGAGATATCTAACCGTTTTTGTACCGATCCATTCAGTCGGAGGCCTCTTCTACACAACTGCATAGGCTGTGCGACAATCCCTGTTAGACTGTGCAACAATGTTTTCTAAATTCTGGACTACAGGTAACTGTTAGTATAAACATGTGTAAAGTTCGTCCGAATATCAAATGCATGGTGTTTGTATTTTGTTCGAGCTGATTTAGCATAAATCAAACTTACTTCAATAAAATAGCGCTTCTTACTTAGACATTTTGGAAGACATCCAACAAGATCCTACTCAAGATAACTGTGTCACTCACGCTGCAACAGATATTCAACATTACTTTTGTGCCTATCCGTATTTTCTCATATTGAAAAATAAATCTAACACACGACTTCAAAGGGCTGATATTAAGCTAATATTATTTGCGTAAAGATGGCTTCACGTAACCTTTAGAGGGGTAAGCATAACCCTAATATAGCTATACATACATATATGTATATATAACCGGCTCGTGGGTGGAAGCATAAATAAAGAAGGAAAGCCCAGAAGCAAACATTGTTATTTTTCAACTATCAAATACCTTCCCAGTCCACCAAGAAGCGCTAATATTTATTATAGTACCACTAAAAGGTGAAATCTGCGTGAAGGTAATAGCTTCTTGACTTTGGTACACATTTGACGTATATTACTTAAGAGTCTCCGTGATTGCACAACAACAATTGCGTCAGTCGAGAAAGCGCGGCCGCGTGGAAGAGACCCTACTCTTTTGTTGTGCTTCGTTTAGTGCCTGTAAATATACGTCGTGAGAGATAGTGGCCGATTCACGGCCTTCGTATAAAATTTGTTTTGCGCATTAAGATGGGATTATCAAAAACACTTTCCATGGTGTCCGGCAACCCAAAGATAGCACGCAAAGTTTAGATCTCTTAAAAGTCGACTATCCATTTTGGCTGGCAACGAGATATGAACAGGAAGTTTTGTCGTAGAGTATAGTAACAAATAGTTTCTTCGCTAGTCCTTGGTCCATCTTGCTGGATTTCGAGAAATAGATCGTCGATTAGCTCGGATGTTCTCACGACAAATGTGACTGATAATAAGAACACAGATTTGGTACTGGCTGGAAGTTTTCGATACGCTAAACGTCGCTAAAAAGTTTGTACGCTTAGAAGACCAACGCGTACGTGGAGCAGATGGTTCGAAGCACCAACACCAGAGTCAAGACCGTGGCACCTACAAGCGTCAGTATAAAGCCCGTCACCGTTTAAACAAACTCTTAAGCAAAACTGTAGCCTTCTATAGGACTAGAGCTGAAGCAGACTGTTAAGGAATCATCCTTTTTCACCGATAAGCTGTCACCCTCACACGCTATTAATTCACCTAAGATATGTTAATAAGCGAAAGGAAGAAATATTTGCATGTTGAACTCTTATCAGGACCACTTCAAGATCAAAATTTCGGCAGAAATGTTCAGCAGTATTTTCAAAAGGTCGCCGCTTAGCGCCTTTTTGTAATGAACTAAAAGGTGTTTGCTTTTAGCGTGTGCCTTACCAACGTTGCTGACCGTCGTATTTTAGGACCGCTAATCAGAACGTGGCGGAATCAAGCGTATTGGAATGCCAGTACGTTTCACTAGTACAGTAAAGGCTTCCAAGTAAGTGATGTTTGAGGATTGATAAATTGGTTAAGCAAAATTAGCATGATTGCCCGATCGAAAACGTCTAGACCTTTTCTTGCCAGAGACACATGGATAGAAAACAGCGACTGACTCACACGAATCTAGTCTCTACTGCAGTCTACTACAAATTTAATAAACGCCTAATATTTTGGCGGGGTATGAAACGAATCTAGATTGGTGATCGCAGTATCAAGCACTGGCTATATGAGCATCTGACGTCCAAACTAAAAAATCATTCACGCTTTGAGTTTCAGGATATTAGCAAATAAATAGAAGGGATGCTGTACAATTTTAAAACAGGACTCTGTTGCAACGTGTTACCGGCCAATGAAGAGCCTTACATTTACGAATCCACAATCATATTTTGCAACCTGCGTGAATAAAGAAAGGTTGTATTTACAAAGCCACTATTAAGTTACTGATCATCATATAAGATGTTAGTTAATATACATCTATATCAAAGGAGCGGATAGCATCTGAAAGAATCATATATCTGCATGACAATTTACCAATTTCTCTTAATTCCTGATGTCTGTTAAAATCAAGAAAATTTTCACACACGTTAAGAGATAAATTAGTATTAACGCTCCATGGCCCTATTGGGAAAGTTTACGTGCGCCTTACTATCCACGCAGCAATTGACCTAAGTTTTTAAATAAAATAATGCCCTTTACAAACATCCTGAGGTGTCTATTAATCGGTAGTGCCTTTAGGCTACTGGCAACATTACAACCGGCCACGGAACTACTAGCCGTAAAGTTCAAAGTGATCAGCCGGAGGACATATGCCGTCCAGCGCAAAAAGTACTTAAAATAGCAGGAAGCTATTTCCACAAGCGAGGCTGAACGGAAGGCTTATGGCTTATGGAATGGCTTCGAGCCCGGAAGCCTGCATCTCATGGCCCCACCAATAATTATCGACCATTTTGTTGGAATGTTCTCATCTAGTGATACCGAACTTCAGGGGGCTTCAACGGTCCCCGCAACGTGGCATGAACCGATAATGAGCATACGAGAAAGGCTAGACGAGGGTTCTCCGTCCTAGTGACTTGAGAGACTATGCACAAGGAAGACAGACGAACCGGACTGCCAACCTCAAAATCGTTGTGGAGTTGGTCCCTTGCTTTATTCATCAACGTCTTCGTCCTGGACTACTTCGCCCCCATTGACAGGATGCAACGCTTCTTGTTGTCCTAAAAAGGCATAGGCGACTCACGCCAATCGCACGTGGGTCGCCTATAAAAACGTATACTATACATTCCCGAAAAACAAAATTACAATTGATGATGGAGATTCGAAGTTGCCCGCGTTCTTTCTTTCAGACTTCGGGAACGAACTGGGGTGATTTTTTCAATATAGCTTCTGGACAGTATACATAAACCCATAACTATAGTGAAGGTTTCCCTCGCGCAGACGATTTAGGTACGCGAGCAATCGTTCCGTATGGAGACAGGGTTAGACTCTGTCGTCTCGAAATCGGAATTGACCATCAACTTAATCATATCTGAAGCTATATTTCTCGACCAGACCGCTCGATTCGTCCGCCTAGTGCTGCTGATCTCGTATAACGGCCAAATTTTATTTTAGCATATTGCAGAAAGATGCAGAAAGGTTTCGATAGCGTCAAGCTTTCAACACCCAGCCCCCTCGATCGTCTTAGACAGCTTTGTGAGTTTCCGACTTTTAAGCTGCGTAGGTCACCGTTTACGGAATTAGAATAATTTGAGATGGAAGTCACGGTTAAGAATTTTTGAGCGCTTGAATCGAACAAAAACCCCATTGCCTAAAAGAGCTTTGAGGTTGCACCGGACAAGCCCTAACAAGCTCGTCTACCTTCTAGTGGTGACCTTGCTGCTCGTCGAGGGTCTCCGTCCCCGTTTCAATTCTAACAGAAACTCGTTAGGTGGGATCGAGAATTCGTGAAGGATGAATTTTATTGATCGTGAATCATGACGAACGAGACCTGAAAAATAGTCACCTGGTTATTGGACATATAGAAACGTATTACCATCGCCTACGCAGAGTACAAGGACTTCATGAACTTCGTTCCATGATGACCATCTTGCAACGACAGTTCTCGTCAGGCTCGTGTAACTGTTATGTGCATGGTATAGGGTACCATATATATGCCAAAATGTATATATCTTAACAATGTTTGGTATGTTAATTGACGCATGAGTTTGAAACGAATATCTTCACATCGCGTAAAGAAACCATTATGAGAGCTTTAGCTGGAGCAGCGATTTAGGGTGATAGAATACTAAATAAATGCACGCATACAAATCATGGAGTTTGGAGGTAACCGGCTGTAAAAATTCAAAACAACGTATTTGAAATATAAAGTAAAGATTAAACGAATACGGTCGGTGCTATTCTTCTCTGTTTAACTTGTTTCTCTATTTGCAGAATCCTATCCACCATGCAATTACTGTTGGCCGTCTTTATGTGCATGTGCACCGTTTCATTATCGCTGCCGCGAAGGGAGGCAGCATCGTTTGCCAAACAATTGTTGATTCGAAGATTTGAAGAGGAGAAAACCTCATCAGGCCGAGCTAACAACAACAACGTCACACAACCATCCACCTCATACGCAAGATGCCTACTCTGCAAAGCGACTATTTCCATTGTACGTCGGAAACACAGGTGACATGATTACACAATTCCAGGACATGGAACCTGCGAGCAAATGTGGACACATGTATAAGTTATCCAAAGCAGCTTTTAGCTCTGTATTATCTGTATGATTGTACATCACAGTGTAGCGCTTTGGTAGAAGATATGTGCCTTCCTTATTGATGCTGTCAATATATATATATATATATATATATATATATATATATATAACATACTGTAGACGCACGGCTTGTTACAGCATTTTGCTTTATGTTGAAAATTGACGCAAAAATACGTATTCCATAACAGTTACGATCGTTCAAAATTTTCTTCTCTACAAAAATGGTTTAAACACTTCATTGTAGAAATAATACGATTATGTTGAAAGATGCTTCCACTGTAACCGTCAAGTAGCGCGTACTTTATCGGCCATCGACTGCATAAATCGCTTGAATTATTCGAATTTAGTTAAGGACCTTTAACGCAACCTACTGACCGACCAATGAAAGGAGAGGCTTTGCAAAAACTCGATCCATCCCTTAATTGTCTGAAAACAGCAGGCGAGCCTCGAGGTCCTATGGTTCGGTCGCTCCGACAGGCTTGTTTGGATGTGAGCTTCGATTCTATCACCAGATTCTTAATGACGGATTCAATAGTCAGAGGTAATAGAATATGTACCGCAACAGACGAACTCTCGTCTGAGAGAGACCTTAATTAGACTTTTTTTGGTATATGTTAGCCAGCGGAATTTTCGTTTGAGTTCTTAAGGGACCACAATAATATTGCGAGTCACGCGATCCCGCCAGCGTGCTAGATGGACAAGTACTTACTTCATTGTTTTCATCTACCTTGATGATGTTATCATATATTCACGAGACTTCGAGGCACACATAAAGCGCCTGCGGGAAGCTGCTAAGAGCCATCGATTGCGCGAGCTTGCGGTTGAAGGTGAAATCTCAGAACCAAAGTGACAGCCAAGGAAATTCATCTTGACCCCGGGAAAAAGGGGTTTCAGTTTTGGGTCTCGTTTCTACAGTTGCTGGTTTAGCCGGGATTTTACTTGCGCCGTTACATTTACTAAAGCACAAGACACTTGGTGACTTTGTCTTATGCCATTTCTGGTATACTCGGAAGACGAAGCTGGAGAGGGACAGTAACGGAACCGAGGTCGAGAAGGTTCAGGCATATTAGTCGTCGCCCGACCGATACCGAGACTAGGTGTTATTCATTACCGGGTGCATGGTGCCAGTATGTGTTATCGAGTAGTATGTGTTATGTACCGGCATCGCATGGTGGTAGTAACCGAAAGTATTACATTGAAGCGTGTGAACTAACCCAACGTCTGTAAACATTCTGTCGCGGTACGAAAAAGCGGTTTCGATTTAGATAAGGAAGGATACTTGTCTGCCAGGTTATCAAGTATAGCTCGGCATACATGGTTACGGAGAAAGCAACCCTGGTCCGCCGTTTCAATCGGAAAAAACGATCCCGCTGAGTCACTCAGGGAGAGAGCTAAGCACTTCATTGTCCGGAAAGCATTGCAAGACGTGCAGACGCGCTTATTTGTCAGGCGCTGGCTAGGGTCGCAATCCGAAAAGTGGTGGCCTCGTGTTAGGTCTGTCATCGGTGGAATCAAATCGACGTAATGGCGTCGAATGACTTTACGGAGCGACCAGGTTACCGCTACGCACTAAGACGGCAGCTAACCGTTGGTATGAGAGATGTACAACAGTATATTAGGGACAGCATTCCTGTAGCGTTAGTATTGTAATTTCTAGGCGAATGCATTATGTAAAGGGCTGCCTGATATCACGTAAATAAGTACCGCCAGGAGCATTACATCCGAAATGGGTCCTGCTACGTTAACATATTGAACCGGCTAGTATCAGCACTAGGACGCTTACCTTGGAGATGATTTTGGACATCGCAACGGATGTAGAAGCTAACCCGCTGTGTATGCTGATTGAACTCCCCAGCAGCTTGGTGCATTCTGAAGTCGCATGAGGCTCGTAGAAATCGTCAACGAAGCTGTCATTTTGGCACTACTCTTTTACGCCTAAAAAAAGTACGCAATCAAGCCCGAGCAGGCGCCTACGTAGCCAGCCGTGGACGCGCGCCACTGGCCCTAAAATTCTAATCCATTACTCGAGAACCAAAGCCCTATAAACCATACATATATATAGCTGGCAACAGGACTGCCTCCACACTACAATATATATACATAGTATGTAATAATATAGTAATTTACGTACTTACATATGTATATGCTGTTATGCGGTTAGAGTACAAATCCTCAACCGGTAGCCGATGTATTGTCAGTTTCGGAAAAAGGATTCAGTTTTATAATATATATATATGCTGAAATTGTTTTCTGTAGGTCGAGTACATATGTATGGGTATTTAAGCACAGCGTACTCGAGTTCGTGCTACCATTCATTCCATCAATGCAAAAGTGCCCCGTGTAGGCCGTACCGCATAGCAGATGAACAGTCACCATAGCTCAAAGGGGAAGAGGAAATAGGGGGCTTCTCAATTGAATGTCACAAACGGCAAGTGGCCATCTCCGTAGCTGTATGTAGTGTACACAAAGCGTTACTTATAATCGGAGGGTGCAATTCCTGCAAATTGCATCTTAGATGGTAACGAAAGATGGAACGTCGTTGCTACTGGTTTTACATTGTTCCTGTTACAGCTATTGTTTACTGTGGGCCGTATTACTCAACGAAGCCAACAGCAGAAGCGAAATAGTTGGTAAAGATGTGATAGAACATCCACCGATGCTAGCCAATGGCGGTTGCTTGGAGCAAGATAGTATTTTCTATCTTGCTAGATAACGATGCGCTACGCTCTATAGGACGATAGAAAAACGTGACAAGATCGTTCATTGCCACGTTCGCTTGGTGAAAAGAGTACATTTACCAGCAGCTAAGTGGATGCTGCTGTCCTCTGTAGCACTCCTCCGCCGTTAGGAGAAATCCTGTACTACTGTTGCGGTTTCCCCTATTGAGTGGGCTGCTCTAAAAGCAGTGGATATGCAATTAGGGGGTATATTGTTTTTAATCGAATGTTTATTTCGTCAGAGCGAAGATCTGTCAGCGTGGACGTTCAAGCTTCAATAAATTTAGAGCCCTTTGCGATAGGACAATAGCAATAATAAGAGATGCTAGGATTATCATTTATTTGAAAGATACACAATGCAATTGTTAATAACCCTTCCGGTTTCGAATGAAGGTGTTTGTATTTTGACGCGTTTATTTTACGCGGTATTTAAGCGCGTTTTTTGAGCTTTGATGGTTCCACAAGCAAGTTTCAATATAATTGCCTTTTGTATATCGTATTTATATATATAAATATTTTTTCAACATAACATACTTAATGTTTCTATATTGTCTGTGTGAATTTTAATGTGTTTACAATCAGCTAAATAGTAAATTGTATGCTCCAGGATCTTCACGTGCTCGAACAAGTCAAAATAATAAACGAAAAAGGATCCAGGTTAATTAGGAACTCTATAGGTATCTATAGCAAGGAGTTTATTTCACTTAGATAGCAACTCTCAATGTTCGGTATTTTCGTAGAAGCAAGCAAACAAACAGTGAGGTCTGACATTGTAGGTAGGGCCATCATTATTAGCAATAACCCATCATCATCAACATAGTACATTCGTTATGTTTCGGTTCGTCCTCGAAAGGATTAAGTGGATTAAGGGCTGGGCAAACCTGATTGGGGTAGTTTTCATTAAATCCACGTTAAGTGAATTCCTTTTTGTCATTATGTGGGCGAACATAAATAGTCGTGAATAGCTACTGACTGGATTAAAAAAAAATTGCTCAGTAATAGCCCAGGGATTAGCCCGGAAATAACGCATGCTAATGACTAAATATTCGTGAAATCCTGTAGAGAACATCCGATTAAACTTGGCTCGAAATTAGAAGAGACGGCTGTGTATTATACCGCGTGTTCCATTGCAAGCCGTCAGTATGTAACTAAATCCTGATGTCAACAGAATATAAAAATCATTAGATCTTAATCGCCGGCCGAGTATAATTATACTTGTTATATGGATGGATCAAATGTACGAATGTTACTTCAACCCACAGGTGAACGAATTCCTCTCTAAAGCGAAGTCAGGAGATAACCTTGTGGCAATTCTGAAGTTTGGCTGTAAAACGTTACGCATCGAGACAGAGGCCGTGTGCAATGGCATCATTCCACTATTCAAGGATATGCTTTTCACTGTAATATCGCAATCGCCATTATCCCCGCACGATATCTGCTCGATTGTCTTCAATAACGAATGCGGCGAACTAACTGAGAAGTCTAACTGGACCGTTGCTACATCCGGCGTACCTAAGCCGCCCGTAAAACCGGTAAGTTCTCGTACATGTGATAGACCCAAGCGATGCGTGTATGTATTGCATGCAGGAATCGTTTCCACTTTCATATATACAATGACGTAGATCAGCGTCGTCGAGCTGGAACTTATTTTGTGTCACAATTAAAATCAATACGTTTATACAACTGCCTATGATTGCAGGGAATTTTTGTTGAGCATGAAATAATTGCGATGAAGTATCTCACAGGTTACCTTATAAAACCCTTATAAGTAAAACAGCTCGTACGAAATATATATAAGAGTTGTTGTACTTTTAAGCATTAGTCACAATGTCGATTTAGCAATTTGCTCTTTGATCTTTGAAACATCAGCTCATTTTATCATTGTGATTATTCCTATAATCGTATTGTAAGAATACAAATGGCAAGCTCGTTTTGTTCAGCTATGGAGAGGTAAGTAAATGTCCAGCTCTCGTTGTTCTTTGATCTTTTTTGCTCACACAAATACTGTTCATATTGCCAGGACATCCATTTCATTTTATATAGCAATAATGGCAGCATGGCTTCGCTCAATGTTATCACTTCGGAACAAGATTCATCCGTCCGTCGCACAGCCATTTCTTTGGTTACAAACTGTACATTGATCGATGGGTAGGAGTGTGTTATCAAGCAAAAGCCTATGGTGATAGACCCTCGTTTGCCGATCAATGGATTGGCTTGAGGCGTGCTTACTTCTGTCTAGCTAATAATGGCCGTTAGAAAAAATACAAGCGATATTATCACTAGCACAGTTGTAATAACGTACATTGGCAAAAGGAAAAGTCTAGGATAGCAAACACCGTTTCGTCCGTGGACCGCCGGCCAAGGACGCGACAGTGGGCAAAAAGAGCGGTTAAGACATGAACGCCAGACAGGCGGAGAGAAACACGTCGAAGGCAACCACCAGTCGAAGCCGTTATGTTATCCAAAGGGTCATAGAATTAGATTTTTTTCACGTACGCTTCCAAGTTGTGCCTGCGCTTTTCCTTCAGCCGTCTACTCCTTTGTTTGTTTTTTTGCTTCCATGTTTTGCTACGAAATGGCTTTCGAGCGCGAAGGTTGTACTAGAAGGTTCACGATTTCGTTTTCAGCTAAGGGTAGCGACAACAGTAAGCGAGGCCTCCGAAACCTCTTGTTTTAACGCCAATTTCATTACGAACGGCTAAATTTGGAATGTGGTGAAAATCTGTTGTCTCTTTATCACTGCTGTCATCGATTCGTTGCGCTAGACCTGAATGCACGTAGCTTCCTTCGTTCTCTACCTAGGCCGTTCACCCCATTGGAATACTGAAAGTTGAATGTGTACTGTGGAACAAACGGTGTTACAACAACATACCACTATACTGTATTATAAACATTTGGGATACGTGCTTAAATTCGTCGAGGGTTACGGTCTACAGTTGGTACACTCTAGGCGTGAGAAAGGATGACACGTGGCCATGTTTGATACCGGTGACAAAAAAAAGCTGTCCGTACGTCAATATGAACCCGAGATCGAAATGGCTGGCTTCAGGCGAGGAGCCGAAGTCCACGATCCAAACACACCTTTAACCAAGAAAAATTATGTGTTATGGGACTTCAAGGGCCTAATTCACGAATAGTTTCTTTTTACGAACCAGATCGGCACGTTTTTTTGGCCCAGTTGCATCGAGTCAGCCAGACTATTCAGGAAAAAACACCAATAGACGAGGTCAGGACATCCTGGCCATTGACAACGCGAGACCACACACGACAAACACCAAAGTTGCGCTCTTTGACTTTTTTGTTGCACCGTCTACATTCTCCAAATACTCCCCGTTTACGGATTTTTACTTTCTGTTTGAAATGAAATTAGGAACTGAACATTTAACAGTGTAGGTGGTTTTGAAGCCTAGATGGACAAGTTCCTCAATGCCAAACTTAAGCATGTCTAGCAATAAGGAGTAAGTAAATTGACTGACAGTTGAGAGAAAGTCACCAACAGATAAGTTATATAATATTGTCGCAGAGAAAAAAAATGTAGTAGTAGATAAAAAAAATGGCAATTTTTAACGTAAACTATAGTATTGCGGTATATAGTGTAGTAGTTACAGTAACGAAAAGGTGATGCACAATAAACCGATAAGATAGCATAGCTCTCTGATTTGCTTGTACAGTCAGTCTATCTGAAGCGATAGAACGCTGTTGGTTGCAAGCACTAAATCAAGGGTGTTGATTCAAATCACGTCAGCTGCAGGACCTGACGTCCACGGTAGATTGTATTTGCAGGACAAAATCTATTCCAATCAAGTTCATTGCTTAGCTGCTGAGAGTCGATTTAAGTTACTTGTATCACTGTTCAGTGTTCTTCGTCACAACACACACATATCTTCCTTGGTTGTTTTACTTTCCACATCCGCTGAGTAAGGTCGTGCAGAGTCGCTCGTACCGTTGTCCTCGCAGAGCACTCGGAAACTATCCAAAAGGAAACACTAGAACTAAACCTGGCATACGAACGAGTGTTACCCACGTCTGATCCTCAGCCTATGTTAATATTCAGTCCATTTATAAAAATCATGCAATTTGAGGCTCTACACTCGCGTTGAAAGATATGTCTCTATGACCGAGTGGTCTGGTGTTAAACCTCACGATATGAAATCTCATGCAGGTAAAATATCTGATCTCGCAGAAGCAAGAAGTATGGGTTTTCTTGAGCGATAGAAGGATAAATTACTGCCTTGCTTGGGCGACTGTGTGCCGTAAGGTTGTCCTAGTAGCCTTTCAAAAAAAAAAAGGAGAACAAGTGACATGGACAAAGTATTTTGCGATAATCTATGACGTATGGCATACGGAAACCCTTGCGATATTTACTATGTGCATGGAAGTAATTTATTTAATGGAGGGAATTACCTCTGGCTTAATTCGTATACATGAATGCAGTCTTATTCAAGCCCTTCCATACTCCAGTCTGCATCTTATGCCACTGCTAAATTTATTCATTAAATAAAAAAAAAAAAGAGTCGCGCCTACTTGCACAAAAATCGAAATTGCATTCAACCATTTGAGTATTTAATGTGTCTTTTACGACTAAGTGCTGCGACTTAAGAGACACGAAATATAATATATATATTGTACTTTATTAATAAAGTACCGGGAGACTGCTAGTTTCTTTTTAGCGGAACGCAGCTCAGTCTCTAATAACGCGCATAGGGATGTAGGCATAAACCTTACTTTCAATATAGATATATACTAAAATATTAGATATTTAAAAAAAATATCCATTTTAAAAAATTAGATACTCCATTGAAACATCAGAAGCTTCTAGAATTAAAAAATGGGAGTCTGTACACCGAATAACAATACGTAGCTGCGATGCGAAGACTCTGAGCCAGAAAGATTCGAAAATATTGTTGAGCCAAGGGCCCTACGACGGCCCGTTGTCCTTAGAGGCTTGAGTCAATATTATAAGGGGAAGCGAAAGCAGAAGCAAAGTACCCAAAATCAGTCACTCCTTTGAGCCGTTGTTCTTTGATGATCTAGGCACACAGTATGCTTCCCAATCCATTCGTTATACTCGAAAGCCCCCTATGCTATACCATTAGGTGCAATTCGAGATTCAAAAAGGAAGGATAGAGCAGTCCTCTTTTTTAAGCATATGTAGCACTTGACGGCTGGACAATCTGCCGGGAGATTTCGAACCCTCCGACAAACGCTACAACAACCTGTACATCGAGTTCCCTGTTGCGTCTAGCAACGGGGAACTCGATGTAAGAATGTCGCCAGGCAATGTATTAGATGACCTGCAGCAGAAAGCTATGATGGGACGGCAATTAAAACCCCAATTAGCGAAGCCTAGACTACGGTTCGTATGTAACTATCTCGGTTTATACTATGAGTAAGGCCACTGGGTATGCTGCAAATGGCAGGCAAAGCCAACTACTTCAATTGCTCGAAGGTAAAAACGGAGCGGCCAGCACTCTGCTCGGTTGTGGTAGTGGCTGACGTGGTATTGCCCTGGTAACTTGTGGACGAACCGCAACTTTGTTATTAATGCGAAATTATCCACCGGCACAGAGATATTTACTGCCTGCTATAGAACACGCGGAGACAGCAAACACGTTATAGGACAGATAGCGATGGACGGACGAAAGGCGATGGACACCAAAGAGCAGCGAGAAGATCCTATACAGTTCTCGGAACAAATTTGTCCTGTTTGTCCGCAGCCACTAGCGAATGCCCCCAGGGACCGATCACTTGTCGCCTTTGCTAGGGAATGCCGCCTGATGTAGCCGGAAGGACTGGCAAGTCCTTCGAGTTGTCAGTGGATCCAGATCGTTGCCTGTTAGCTCTTCGGTTGGCTTATTCTTAAAATTTCGGGTACTATAGGAAAATCGAAAGAGGTAACGCCGACAAAAAATGAGAGAAACGTCGTTCACATGTTTATGCGTACGTGCATAAGAAGTAAGGAAAAAAGCTAGCTAGGATCGATATTGGTCTTCTCGAAAGTGACATCAAACATAAAGACACATAAAATTCCTTGCGTTCTAGCTTCCAGTTCTCTTTCGGTTGCTTTTCATGACTCGTCGCATCCAAGCAACGTTCGACTATCAAAGTCCCTGCGCTGCAAAGCCTCATTGATCCCTTTGGAAGCAGTTTTAAGTTATAGTAATGGTGATCTGCTTTTCGAGGACCAGTTATTTTTGCTACTGTTCGCTGTTCCAGTATAATGGAAAATATCTGCCAAACGAGCTGTCTCCCGATCTGCTAACAGCCGTCGGCAAACTCTAGCTGAGTCATCCAGCCCGACGGGGTATACTTCAATAGTCCTTCCGATTGCCTCTAAGGCCCTATTTGGCATTTTTATCCTCGGGACAAATACGATTAGCGGACAGCAAAAAAAGCTCATTGGACTACTCTCCAAGATTGAAGCACATGAGTCTATAGCAGATAGTCATCACTGTCGCATCTACTGTCACTTATTCAAGACAGTTTTAAACGTAAATGACACCATATGTTTACTTCATTGAAACCGGTATGAGAAAGGTACTTGGAAGCTAAGTGTTAGTCTTAGGATCACATCGTTAACACTCCAATGAAACTAATCGAATCTAAAGAACAACGCGGTTTATTTGCACCTGATAGCATAAACCTAACATATTTAGACAGTTCAGCCTTGCCTAACGACGTTCGAGTGTGTTTATGAGCGGTAGCTAAAATTGATAAGAACCTTCAGCACGAAGACAATCAGTGGCCAGTGACACTATAGGCAGCCAGAGTTCTCATACCAAACAAAAACAGCAATTCGCTGGCCTAGGGGAGAATCCGATATGAAGAACGCGAGAAGTGAAACGCTAAGACAGAAGAAGCGTGGATCCAAGAGCGAGAAAGCATTAGGTCGACGTCGGATAAAGCGAGCTGAGGAAAAAAAATCATCTGCTCAATTCCGGTCCGATACGGACCTTTTGTGCGACCAGGCAGAGGGTTTGCACTGAATCGAAGAAGATATCGTCGTTTTTCTGAGGGAGAACACGTCTACCTAGAGGACACCAACGTTTTCGCCGCAATTTATTCACACTGAGACAAACTTACTGTTCTAATACATGCATGCGGAAATCTAACATTAAATGAGGGACATAAATAAAAGAAAGAAAAGAAAATTACGAAAAGTAGGAGGAAATAAGCCGTCGATATGAACCGTTACAAATTTCAGTCCGATCATCTGATATACACCTATAGGTTATAATTTTATGCGAATCGACATTTGCTTGATAACACGGCGATTCACTGTATTTGGCAAACGTTATGATGGTATTTTAACTTCCTTGATAGGGACTCCATTACATTTTGCTAGACAAAAATGCTTCAAACAAAAAATGGGAACTAGAGAGGAGTAACGCTTTATTCAGAGTGCAAAAAAACTTTGATTCGAAGATATTTTCTACACGGTCTTTATCTGTGTTCTGTTTCCATAGACCGTGTTCGACTTGCTGCGGTATGTTGTGTGCAAAGCACAACGATAATTACTACCACGCGTTTATCTCACATATAATTACATTATTATTTTACACGGATGCTAATATTTTCAGAAATTTTCGTTACATACTATTGTGATTGACGGAGCAACAGACCGAGCAAGTTTAAATAAATGAAAAAATAAAGCAGCAGAAAGCATATATACGAACTTGCATCACTTTATTGCTAGGAAGAATGACATTTTCACAAAGATAATATAGCAATTTTTTTACTGAAGCCGAAAGTAGCGTTTTTCCAAATCGCTCCCCGCTTGTAAAACTGTATTTCCATTATTATGAAATTTTCTAAAAAAAGATCTACAATTTACACTTTGAATTTCTTAGATTTCCGTGCCATCCGATTCTGCACCAAAGCTACGGATCGCCCATATTACAGATACACACGTCGACTATCAGTATGCCCCTGGCTCAAACGCTAACTGCGCGGATCCGCTTTGTTGCCACACTGATTCGACCCAGAAGAAGGGCTCTTCAGTTGGTGCGGACAACGCTGGCTTCTGGGGCACGTACGTGACTTGTGATATTCCTGAAAGAACATTAATTTCGGCACTCAAGTATATCGAAAAACAGGTAGGACGTCCAATAAAAACTGGCTTTTATTTCCTTGGTATCTAAGCTTTTTATTATTGAAAACATTATTCATATACTAAATACTCGTTGCAGCCGTAGCTCTGAAGACAGACGATTGTAACCCTCCTCAGCATGTCGAGGTCATCACTATTCTTTCATTCAATTAGGGAAATATAACAATGTCGTTGCTACTTATGTGGTATTGTTGAGTCTACAAGCCCATGTTCTCCTGCAGTTTTGTTCAACACTGTTGCGGTATGATTTTCTAATCACGACCAGTAAAAGCTTGTTTTTAATTCCTATGTTACGAGCTAAATAGATGATGCATAGATAATACGTTTAGCGAGAGAGAATTTGTTTCTCGCAATAAATGTATGCTGTTATTCATCGAAGCATATCGTGCGTTGTACCATTGTCGTCTGGCTCCCCTTCAACCAATAGAACACCTGGGCACTGTTAACTCTATTCGACAACTATAATACATTGCCTTATAAACTCTCATATGCCGTTCTATGATATGTAGGGCTATTTAGCTTCCACGTGCTCTTTTTCCTGAGGGATAGTTTTTTTTTTTTTGCCGGTTCGCACTTTTCGCTAAGCTTTCATACTATAGCACAATAGACGCAGTTGCTTCACTACCCTTCTTTAACGTTACGTTGATATTATATACATATAGATATATGATATCATTCTAAGTACGTCTTTGTTCGTCATCAATGTCTGTTATTCGATGATTTCCGATGGATTGGGGACAAATGAAAAGACAAAGATGTTTTTCAAACTTCTTTGTCTTAAGGATCAATTGGCCCGCTCATTTTCTCCGGGTTAATAATCAAATCAAGCAGCGCTCATGGTTGATGACGATTGATTTTTGAGTAATGAGTGATGCCAACGTAGATCGGTGGCTTGGCTAAGGAAACACCGCTTAAAAAAAGCACGTGTACGTACATTGACGACAAAAAAGCCACATAAAAATCAAAGAAACGGTTATCCTCAACCAAGATTTAAGCCAATCCTACCGGCAAATCTACAGAGCTGACTAGAACGGAACGAAGAAAATCCGAAACAAAGACAAAACAGAAAAGCAGAAGTTTCTGAGTTGGCCCCAATACCAGTGGAGTTTCCCCCATGAAATTTTAGGTTCAACGAGCGAAAACCGAAAATCATCGAAGAATGTGACAGTACTCGAAAGACAACACAAGGTGTAAAAACGTACCGTGTGGCGTTTCGTTGAGATGATTGACAGGATAAATGAAACCGGAGTGCTAGAAAACGCGGAAAGCTATTTGAATTAGGATTAGCAATAGGTTGGATAAACAGAAATGGACCTACTGCAAGGACGGCAATATGATGGCACATGGACGAAGGTTCGTCTTGCGTGCAGATATCAAAATAATATACCTGGTTTACCTCAGGGAAGCTCAAGTTGTGGTGAACATGGCAGACCGAACGTATTAGCAGAAAGGAATATCTGACAGACGTCCGAAGTCTATTTGTCCATTGTGCTTACTATCGTCACAGTTATATTTGTTACAATCCCTTATAGATATAGCTTCGAATAATTCTTTCCTCCTGGAACCTATCTTCCAGGCATCAGAAGATGTCAGTACAATCTTTTAAACACTTTATTTTTGTTGAGTAGGTGAAGCCTGATTACATTTATTGGACAGGTGACATCATATCTCACAACGTGTGGCAGACGACACGCGAGGGTAACCTTCGTCAGTTCAACCGAACTTTAGACGTACTACGAATGTACGTTCCTGACGTCAAGGTCATCCCTGTCATAGGCAACCATGAAGGAGTGCCAGTAAACTCATTTCCCATTCCTCAAATTACAGGTACTCATTTTGATTAATTTTAAATATCATAACATTTAATGAATAACATTTTTAAAATATTGCATTGGTATTTGCCAGTTCCTACGTCATAAGCAAACGCTATTAACTAAACTATAACCCTATATGTTCCACTTAAAACGTTTATGTAGGCTAACCTTAGACGTGTACCTTGTGGCGTATTGTTAGTGCTCGTAACATTTGCAACCGCTACTGCCCGAAGGAACTGGGCATGCCTTTGTGCATTACTCGTCCCACTGGACATATTGTATCATTGCGTCCTTGTACCTCGACAAAATAAGCACACGCAATGAAATTGATTTTTAACATTACTTATTCCAATAAGTAATGTTAAAAAAAATAATAAAAAAACAAATGTAAAAAAAGGAATATCTTTTTTCTATAGACTTGTAATATTTATGTGAATCAAAATACATTTTGAAACGCACGAGGTCATACGATGATTAGGATGCCTTAATGATCTACAGGCATCATTTCGACAAATAATCGACTTAGGTCTAGGGGATTACTGAAGCGTGCAGTGAGCTTTTTTTTAAAAAGCTCACTGCACGCAGGAAGAATTACACGACACTTAGAATAACTGGAATGGGGTAACAAGTGATCGGGGACACAGGGGATAACAAGTGGGCAATCGATTCTCGTAACTCATGTGGCTTGAGACTAATTCGTTGAAAATCAGAGCTCAAGCTCGGGTCGAGCAAATATCATTGCTTTCAAGTTGATCGGCAGTTATTTTGAGTGGTGTCCAGTATTGGTATGGCCATGTAAAAAGGGACCGTCTGCCCACAGGTAGAAGCAGGCAAACGTTTATATAAAGTGTTACCACACTTATATGTACGTCTATATAGACATAGGACGTTTCTGACAGGCATTTGTTCTCTGATCATATTTTTTAACAACATGCCTAGAAAGTAAATCGTCATACGATAATATCAATTATAATAGGGAATAAATAAAACTTTGGGTAGGGTAATGGTTCTCTTTCGGACGCTCTGTTTCTTATATTTTCCAATTGTATGTGGCGCGCATGCGCTTTGCTTTTGTGACGAGTATTTCCACTTTGAATATTTTATCCAGGCGAAAATGTTCCGAAATTCTCAATTCTAGTTCAAAAAATAAGTTTTAACGAATATTCGATAGGTTTACATTAGCTTTTCGGCCTTCACATAGTGCGCAAGCCGTTAGAAGATCGAACGAATTAAAAACTTCAAGTTTACCTGTAATATAATTGGTGTGACGAGAACTTCTAGCAGTTGGATGGGCGTACAGTAGAGCCGCTTGTTTCTCTACGATATATTTTCCTAATATATATTACTTTGTGACTGTATTTAAACAGGTTGAAAATATGGTGCCGTTGCTATAAATTTTTCATCAACCGAACAGGTGTTTCCCAGAGTCCCTAACAGACTGTTTTACCTTCTCTAGATAATCATACTTGGTCGTTTGCATTCTACACGACTATAGCCCTGAAAAATGTTCGATTTGTACAAGTATTCTTGTAAATTGTTCCTATGTGTAGCACTAAAAGATACTTCTATGGTAACAAACAATATAATCCTACCTGCCCAGATTCCCAACATGATGATCAGAATGCCTTTCAAATAGCTAATTTCGTAGAGCTGTTTCACTTATCATCATAAAACGTTGTGGAACCGTTAGTACTGTCTATCTATCAGGTACGTACTTATTCAGTTGGAATAGAATTCGTTAGAAGGGTATGGAGTTGGTTAAATTCAAAGAAAATCCGCCACTAGTTTCTAAATCACACTACGTTCTGCTCTATTCAGCCCCTATCAACAGCTCTTTTCAAGCAAACCGTTAGCTCCAACCAGCAGATTTGCCGGCCGAGAATTTTAACCCGCGTGCGTTATTTGTTTCGTTTGAAAGCAGTTTCACCGTTGAGACGACTTCCTTGCTCCGATACGGATCAAGTCTGATTAGAACAGCTGTATCTTGAAAAGCTGTCGCCTCAGCGACTCGGTTTTATAGCGTATTATACTCGCGCGCATACATCTGAAACCTTTCGAGTGTAATACGTCTGCGAAGGTGCGTATGATCGTACAACAATTTCTCGAAAGATCAGACGTCGGGGCTAATGTCCAGGCAGAACACAAGCGAGGCTGCGCTGTTATCCTACAGTGCGCCGTTACCGTATGCGAGTGGGCAGATGTTATTCCTAGCAAGCCAGAAAGCTTGAAGCTGGAACAGTTAGCAGTTAATTCGGTCAATTTTTTGTTAATAATCACTGACCACTGAGAAGAGTGTTCGCGTTTGATACCCCCGTGTGATTCTTCAGGGCGTGCATCGAAAATATTCTAGTTTCTGAGGTGTGAGAACATGCATTATATGTTCGCGAAAAACGCACGGTTATCTTGCTGAAGAATCAAACGCGACAGCGGACGTAGAAGCTCGCTATATTTTGCATGGGTTTGGGCCACTGAGGCCGATTCACTGGAAACTATCACGGTCATATCTAAAGACTGTATTTTGACCAGTGCGCGGTCTATGAGGTTGTTGTGGCGCTGTATGTCAAACGATACGTTGTAATCTTACGCAGTTTTATAACATATGTCGCGTTTATGTCGAAGACCTTTACAGCGTATGTTTACTATTTGCACGTTCATAGGATCCAGTAAAACACATTTTTAAGGTTAGTCTCTTCGCAGACGTAAGTAGGTGCAAACTTAACCGATGGCTAATTTATTTTCTAGGACGAACGAATCAAAGACACTTGTACCGTGTAACTTTTGTGCATAACAAACAAGAACCTATTAAGATAAAGAGCTACGACATTTCCATTGTATCGCATCAACGCATACATGCGTATACAGTGCCAAAAGCAAAGAGATGCCATGCTCGTACTATTTATATAGCTATACTGTATAGCTCGTACGCTAAATTTGCAATTTAGCGATGCGAAGCGTCACAAGAGGTACAGTGACGAGGCGTCATTGATAACGAAACATGCACCCTTCAGACAGCTGTAGAACACATACAGTAAGTAGTCTCGAGAAGTGGTTATTTTTTTAAGCGAATTACACGATCCATATGTAAGCCATCGCTGCAACTCGACGAAGGTGTAGAACAAGCGTCCTACGCAGAGCTTCACATTGAAAATGTGCATAATGTAGTCTACTTTAATTTCGAGCAATATGAATCATAGCACAGCAGAAATTAATATAGAAATGGCAAAACGGTGTCACGCAAAAAAGTTCTACAGACCAATTCCAACGGCTACATGGTCGAAAAACACTACCATAATATTGCTACGTCAAACACCCCCTAGTATCCCTGTCGATTTCATTAAAGGAGTTGTTTGCGTTGGACTATACCTCTCTGCTTTCTAAACTTTTATTATTTTAACGTAAATACAATAGGTAACTTTTGTAGCGACGATGAATAAGTTCATGTGCCAGCAAGGACTTGTTATTATGTGTGCTAAAAGGATACTGCCTTAGTTGACTCGATGTTCAGGATAGTTTATTCGCCAGGGGCACCGAATCGATCCGATAGATTATTTTAGATTCGTTAGAATAAGGATTACTACACGACTTAAGGATTTGAAAAGGTTGTCTTGATGGAGAAACGATTTCGACAGGTAAATCAATTAGTACAGCGAACGATAAAATTCATCATGGATACCAAGCTCACAGGATACTATAAGATAGGAAGAAGGCTATAGAATAAGATAGCAATGGTTATCACTATGCAAATGTTCATATTGATTATGTCTACGATTCACATTGCTATATTCAAAACCGTTCGTCTGTTGGCATCACTTGTGTAAACGAGACGTTAAATAGTTTCAACTCTTCATTGCCATTGAACGTAACGTTTGCTCCTAAACCATAAATTCTGCTAATCATAAGCGCCTTCGACTCCACACGTGCGCATGATTGTTTATAGCGTAGGCAAGAAACAAATCAATGTTCTGTTAAACGATGTGCCCTTTCAAAGCTGATAACGCTGAGTATATTTGTTATAGTTCTAGCGAATATACTTAACAGAGCCCAGAAAGCCGCAGGTGGCCCACACGGATCTCATCCCTAAAGCGTTCAATTTTCGGTAAACGTTTTGCGCAGTGCTGATCGGACGTGCGACTCAATACAGCCTTGCATGGAACTTCTGGTTTGGCAATATAAAGCTTATCTGAAATCAGCAGGCGCTGCATAAAATTTCAGGAGCTACCGCTAACCAGGTAGCTCAGTTAAGCCGTGTTCGAAAATTCAGCCAAACTATTGAGCTGTCATCTTTACCACAACAGATCATATGACTGTCGGGGCAGAGGGTGTCCTTCACGAGTCTGAAGGTCACTTGCTTTGTGATGTGTACTATGCATATTGTCACGCAAACGCTGTTCCATGACGCAAGGCTTTACCACATCGCCTTCGCCTGCTCCTAGTACACTCTACTGGCTGTAACTCTGTTCGATGGGGTGCCTTCTATTCGCCTATCTTTCTACCCAGGGTCCTGGTTGTCGTCTTCTCACTATCTATACCAGTCTTTACCAAATCGATTTTATCGCTATGTTCCTAATATTCCTTAATTCGCTTTTGGATCCAGGAGTTTCATTGATAGTGAGACCATGCTCTTCAAATACTTGGTCATTTCCATCTCGGATAGGCAATGCGCAAACAATGTGTTTATATGCCCTTCGTGCCGTTCATTGCATGTATGTCATGCGTTAACTCACTGCTGTCTACTGATTGAATGAAGGGCTACACTGTAGTAAAATGGCACTGGAACCCTGTCTCGCAGGAATCAATCTTCCATTGTAAAACACACAGTCCTTACATCTATCCTTCCTACATAACGATAGTTTATCGGAGTCCGTTTTCGGTCACGGCAACAATCGGGATACACGGAGGTTCCTCAGAAAAACAGCCTTCTCTTCGTTCACTCCTTCGACGGTGAACACACGTGAAGAAGTTGGTTATATTTGCAAGTGAAATCTGGACAATTTTCTGCTCCTTTGAAGTTCTCCAGGCTTTTCTTAACGGAAGGGCTAATATTACACATGATTTAATTATAAATGTATGAAGAGAAATGCAAGTATAATCTAACGGTATATATATAATATGAAATGACGAGTCATAGCTTGGACAATATTATCACACATGTTGGCCCTACATAGCTCGCGTTCTCCGCTCGTAAACTACAATAAATTGCCCTTGTCAAAATCAAAGCTTCGCCTATTGTGTAACACGTTGTCCATTGACGCGGTCTTCAGCTTGACGTACCTTCAGGCGATTTTTCAGGGTGGAGGTCAAAATGCCCTTCTTAGTTATATCGTTTTCCTCACAAGTCAGCGCCATTACTTCTCAGCATCGTAGCATAGCGGATTATTTGATTTCTACAATATAAACCCTCGTACGACAAATGTTAAATCTGGAGTTTACATGCTCGCTATGGAGACACTAAGAACACGACAAATTTGCAAAGGCGCCAATGAAAGAAACTTACGTCCGGCTGAGTTTTCGTAATCGTAGGCTGTTACTGCCCTTTGCGTAAGCAAGTTTCGACTTGTTCTCTTTCTGTAATCTGTTTCTAGTTAATGTATCGGCGTCTAGATAGCAGTCATCATCGTCGTTAATGTCGTATTTACAGTGTGTACGTTAAACGATAGAGAGTGACATATTATACGCGTAGACAGACTGGCGGTGCGGAGGACATCGTCTTCGTAGGTGAAATATAAGGACACATTGACGACGATCCGAGAGCAACACACACAGTGTTAGCGGCTTGAGTCTCCAGAGCACAAGTTACGCAGCAAGGTAGGCCACACTGGTCTAATGAGAAGTGACTTGTAGTTCGTAAGCCGACATAAAATGAGGGTTTGGCATTGATAGTCACGGTGGCTGGGTCGCTATAACGAGCATGTCCTCTGACACTTGAGCAGTAGACCGCATCGGACGTGAGTTGAATCCACGCGACGAGCACCGGGCTAGAATGGTAAATAAGCCTCTACCGGACGAGAAAGAGAACTCTGACGGGGGATAGCCCGGACAAACCAGCAGGCGCCTTCCTCTGAGCTTGCCAGAACACTCTTTGGTAACCGACCGTTATCATCTAGACTTACAGCAATGACGTCGAGGACAACATATCCTTGGGAGGCGGCGGTGCAGGACAACAAAAGCGGGCTCTCTATGCACCTCGAAAGCGTAGAAGAGAGTCGTGAAGAGTTAAACCAACAAAAAAAGCCGACAGCTACTCGCTCGCCCGATACCAATGATCTCTACTAACGAAACTGGTGAAGAACGGCGTTGTCAGTACTTTCGAGAAGCTCAAAGTACTATAGAACTGATGATGGTCTGGATAGAAGAGGTTTAAAGAAAAAAAAGGCACTTTGTTCTTTTTTTTATTTTCCCCTTGGACCACTGTTTCGTCTTGCTCGGCGTCGGTGTTCTTCGTTTCGTATTTCCTTCTATATAAAAAAAGGACAATGAACGCGCTCGAAGGACATAAACTTTCGGATGTGGCTGCAGTAAGTCTCTTAGGTAACGACGTTCAGTACGGTTACCTACTACCAGTGCACAAATTAAAATAAAAAAAAAGTAACCTCTCTGTAGAAATTGGAACAAGTTTATCGTTCAGGGGCTATATGAAATTTGTGACTGTTGAATCGTGGTGCTATTCTAGGTATTATTACCGAGAGAAACCAGTGAAAATTATACTACACACATGTATCCTGATGGTACATGATTATTTTAAATTTCTTTAAAATGACATACACCTGAAATGTGTTTTTCTGAGAAATCAACATGTCACAAATCTGAATATATTGCTCGAGGGATCATATCAATGGGGACCATTACACAATCTTCTCATAATAAATAAAGTTTTCAGCATGAATGAAGTTCGAGTACGCACACATACTCGCGACTACAGGTGCACGTACAGACCTTAGTTCATTTCAACAGCTGCATCGCTCGTATAAAGGTGTATATATCTATTAGTACACATTTTATACATTGTACACATTGCAATCGTCAACATTGCTTCCAACGAAAGCTTCCACTGTTATATGTATCTATTATCTTTCAATTTGTTAGAAGCATCTCTAGGGATTTTCATCTGAATGAAACCTGTAACTATCAGTGGAAAGCGTGAATTCAATTTATACGTAAACAGCCTAAACTCTAGTATTCGCCATTGGCCTGTCTGTCTTTCCGGCTGTTTCGTGATGGTAGTGGGAAGAATCAAGTCAAAGTGGTATATTGTCCCTGGCTGAGAGTCAGAGAAAAAGCACTCTCGGACAAATAAATAATACTAGCAACTTTGCCGGGAAAACACTGGAAGTTCATAAAATCATACAACTGACCTATAGAGCAGTCAGCAATCTATTATCCAATACTAAGCTGGCAGCGATTTTGAGTGGGAAAAATATTTTTATCTAACGTTTGTACTTGGCTTTTGTTCACAGGTCGTTTCTCAGTAACATGGCTCTATGAATCGCTAGCCGATGTCTGGTCACATTACATCCCTGAACAAAACCTCAAAACATTTCGAAAAGGAGGATTCTATAGCTATGATCTCAGTTCTACCCTGAGGGTCATATCCCTTAATATGAATTACTGTAATACTTACAACTGGTGGCTTCTGATTAACTCTACGGATCCCACAGGTGCGTATACGCGTCCGGTTTTCAGACCACGCTCGAACCCACTAGCGACATCAATGAGTGTTATTATGATAATACTTGCCTGAAAGAGCGCCATTTTTGTCGTATTGTACTTTGCTGAACAAAAAAAACATGACCAGCTTCGGCTGAAGACTAGTCGAACTCCTGATCAGTCTGCAGATCGAGACTAATTGTCACCGATGTGCAATTCAGTAGTAATACACGCATCTTCGCATATTTGTATCTTGATCAGTATACGATATAGTGCCAGGAGCGTTCACACTTGTTCCAAGCATACCAATGCTGAAGATATCTTCTTTTAATAAACACTCCACTGGCGGACAAACAGTTGGGCCGGGAAAACAAGAATAACACTCTCGGCAACACTCAAATGTCTATTTCGCCAATGCGTCCGCCAACAGAGCAGTCTAATGCAAGAACAATATTATGGGTAGTTTCTCGTTTATTATATCACCAATACTGCTATGCAATGAAGTTTCTATTAAGAATTTATTGAATTATATCACTTTTTGCATCGGTCATCGGATAAACTCTTGATGAAAAGATCTCGCAAACGCTTGCTTCTTATCACTTCCGCCATACCTTCCTAGACAGGTGATTTCGTAGTCTGTCCTTGATTGCAACTGAACGGCCATATACCTTCAGTTACCCACGCTGTCGCAGCCAACGACGATGCGGCGCTGTTCTGCCGACGTTTCTAATGCCACCGGCTAAAAATGAGAATTACATAGACGGAAAATGAATGGTGGACGTACGATAGTTGTTGCCTGAATTGTTACTAGGCTTAATGAGAGCGCATTGCGTGCTGTTTTCCGATTTAGGTCTATTTGACTACTCGCGTCTTGTTTGGACAGAAGCGACGAAACTCGGATAGAAGCGAATTGCACTATTCCTTCTATTTTTTTCTTCGCTGTTTGGTCGTTTGTACTCTCTCAAAACTTCATGCCATCCTGTTGAAGAGGCCTCAAATAGTAATTCATTTAAACAACCCATGTCTCGCCGCATTGGGACAATTGACGCTGAACTGGGCAGAAACTAAATGATTATAGTATCAGTAAGCTAACTGGAGCATTACTTTGCCGTCCAGCTAGCCAGCCAGCCAGCCAGCCAGCCAGCCAGCCAGCTAGCTAACTAGCTAGCTAGCTAGCTAGAGCTTACTTTTTATTATTATGACATCATCAATTCACCCAGAGCAAAAGTGCGTTATTTTTTTCCACTAAGGAGAAAACAGTTTCTCAAATGCTTATTGGCTCTGTTTCTGTGACATTCGTCCCGACTATTTACGGCACAGTTCATAGTATTACTTTGTTCTCTTCCAGCTTTTAGAGACCCCTCTTTTAGAACCCCTCTCTGTTCACAGCGCCCTATTGTCGAAACGATTTTCTCATATATGCTTAGGTATACGTTAAGCGGTCCACTTACATACATGGATATGTAGCGGACGATCGTTTGCCAGTAAAAACGCGTTATGACACATTTACAAACATTTTGAGATTATGTAGGAGCCGAACGATCACAGAAGTCTATGATTGCGTCCTGTATCACCATATATACTGAGCTTAACGTTAGATTATGCAAAACAATGAGTCGGCGTAAACTTATATCACAGTCTATATTTGCTATTCTGTTTGAATTCTAAACCCTAACCAAGATTTGGCTCAACTAGCAGGTATTCATTCACTTACTTCTATCCTTTTTCTTCAACTTACCTAATTCATGCGGCTGCATTTGAGTCTTCCACATAAAATTACTTTAACCTTGTGCTAGACTCATTGAAGTGTTTCAAAAAAATAGCCATTAATGTTTGCTCGCGCCTTCTCTTATAGATGAACATCATCTGTTCGATCTAATGGATCGAGTAATGGAGGTTAGGGTAGACGAGACGCGAGTTTTGCTGATCCTTCATAAGTCATCAAACACAGAGAACATTCCCATTTCGCCCCAGGGTCGTCATAAATCATTTATTGCAATAGTAACCATAATCGAACCCAGCAGAAACCATTCCTTATCAGTGTAATTATTCGGTAAACTTTGTACTAGCTTCATGGTATTGACGAGCTCAAAAGCAGATTGCAGAGTTTTTCGTTTGAGTCTGAAAAACGTTGAAGATACACAAGAAATGGCCCGATACTGAGTAATTTAAGCAGGCAAATGAACTGAGAATTAACGATAGGTTTAGAGGTTATTTCGGTCGGTCCTGTAACGCTTTGCTGAGGAAGATAAGAAAAAAAAAACTGTTTAATTATAGAGATCAGGCTGGAGATAAGTTTCCCTGATCAGCAATAGTTGATTTATAACTGCCGCTGATGCGCTCGTTGTTAACCCGATCTTTTTCCACCCTCTGTGGCCATATTCGAATCACTTCTCTTGCCTAGGATAATTATCCTGAAAATATCCTAAAACGTATTTATATTAATACAAAGATGATTATTTTGACTTTTTAAATATTCACCTAAAACACTTGTGCCAATGATACCTGTAATTACATTAATCGTACATTGAGACCAATAGACAAAACTGAGCGAGACTGCGCCTTCATTGAAATGATACAGTCAAAGACGTGCACGTTACTTTGACAAGCGGTGGCACACTGGTTATCCAGCAAACGCTTTAGGCGATCTTTCTCGTTGCAAGAAGATTTGATTGGCACCAGTCTAGTGTCTAGAAAGAATTAGTATGGACACACTTGATGCTGGATTTAATCTGAAAAAGCAGATCTCTACATTTTGACGTGACGTCTGTGTTCCGTCTTCGTCTACCCCCAGGGGTTCAATTTTCATGGGGATGTTGACAAAGCAAACCTGCTGATTTCCTCAGGAGATTGCTATACTTCACATGGAAATCGTTACGCTTACAAAGTGTATAATAGAGCATACGCCAACGAATTTATCGCTATCGGGCTATTTTTCGAATGTAAACTGTTTGTGCTAGCACTACATACTTACTGATATGATGATACGTTATAAATTACCATGAAATTCATAACTCGGCTGCAATTTCGAAACTAAGATTATATATGTTCGGAATACCTTACAGACCAATTAAAATGGCTCACAAACCAGCTGCAGGAATGTGAGGATAAAGGCATTAAAGTTCATGTGATGGGACACATCCCGCCTGGCCAAAGCGACTGCCTTTCGGTGTGGAGCCGAAATTTCAACGATATCGTCAACCGCTACGAGAATACGATTGCAGGACACTTTTACGGTCATACCCATTTTGATGAATTTGCCATTTTCTTTGACAAAGAAAACACAACGAGGCCCTTTGCAACGGCCTATGTGGCTCCCTCGATTACTACGTTTTACTCCGGTAAACCAACTTTCCGGGTCTATGATGTTGATGGCATCTACGACAACTCTACTTACCAGGTAGTCAAAGCCCAAGCTTTTCCAGTAAAAACAAATGATAACATAACGATGCATCATCACCTGAAAACTGCAGTGGCAAACAATCTGAGGAATTTTATTGAAATTGGTTGCAAGAGTATAACATCGTTAGCTGTGAAGGCATAAAAATGACATAATCAGCGTCTAAAAGCCCTCAAGACTAATAGTTGAGGCTCAGTTTAGGAGATGGCGAACTTACGAAGTACTTGTTCGCCAAATTCGACGAAAGCTACCACGCAAATGCAAACCTTCTTGTTTGGAAGCGTTACTAAAATTAAATGAATGAAACTTAAGAAATTTATTTGATTAAAGAATCTAGTTCTTTTGTTTTTGATCATTTCGTATTGCATTCAGATTTCCTCAAATGAAACCACTGAAGTCAGTGCAGGTGGGAACGAGACTGAAAGAAATCTTTACATAGATGGTCATCGCCTATGGCGACAAAGTACTTGGTCGCTATAGAAAACATAGCTCGACCAGCTGCATAGAATGGATTCAATATAGAATGTAAAAAAATCAAAAACCAACAATCGACTCTGCCACAATTACTAACACAGAATAGTAAATGGAAATTGCTTAAGGGGCCCCCCACAGACCCAACATAGACGCAGCTGGCAAAGTGTGCAGGATCGAAGCATGCATAAACGCAAGTTCACAATGCAACGACAGTCAGTCTGCGAGCAAACTATTTTGCCCAATGAAATTCCCCGCCAATTTTCTTTTTTCCTTCCGATGGCCTGTTTTTTCAACTATGCTCCAGCCTGTCTACATACCTTTGTCTGTACATCATCATCATTTTGAAGATGAGAGAACACCATAACAACGGAACCAAAGGCAGATGCTATCAATATTATTATTCCGAACGACCAGTCAACTTCATAATGATCAGTGCGCTATTCATTGCAATATCCCTAAAACTGTAGCAAGATGATGACTCAGTCCAGGTACGGTGACGAAAAGCTAAATACTAGAAAACGTTGTATATAAATATTCTATGTGCAATTCTTGCATGAATCCGGTATTGAATGTTTTCACTCGAATGTGCTATAATTTAATTTACTCCTAGCTATAATTAGTTGGACTATTGCATATTACGACTTGTTAAGGCCTATAACACAATTCCATTGTAGGTTCTGGACATCGAGACTCACTCAATGAATCTGGAAGAGGCTAACCGTCATCCCACTGACATGTATTCTCCAACGTGGGACGTCATTCCATCCATCAAGCAGCACTACAAACTAGACTCATTGCGACCCGAAGCATGGGCGAAGTACGTTGAGCGTATTAGAGTAGATGAAGGCGCGTTCAAGGTACGTTAGCGGTCTTCAGCATCTGCAATTATCTCAGGCAATATATCTTGATATCCCGTAAGTAGTAAATGAATCCTTTCCTCTTTCCAATGTATTTCGTCACTCTTTAAACTGGTGCATATATATAAACACACATATAAACACAAGGATTCAGACGCAGCATGTGACTCGTTCCTCGGGTCATCAGTAATTGAGTCACATTACTTACACTATAATATCTATGATCAAAAGGACTTTTTCGCCATGTACATGAAGCAGCTGCCAAATATAACCTACACCGAGGAGGATCGTAAGATGCTTCTTTGCCGACTACTTAGAACCAGATCGGAGATGCCGTGTCAACCCTAACCTGTACGTTTCGTGTCTTACGTCTGGTGTCGCCGTTAAGCCCATCCTAAACCTTCAAAGGGTTTTCGTTTGATGATAACCACCACGCGGAATTTCGAAAAAAATGAAAGAAACTAATACTGTCATGCAGTAGCTTATCTAGTATTTTGTGTATAAGTAACCATACAACATGTTACATATATATATATATATATATATATATATATATATATAGTATAGTATAGTATAGTTAGCATATAAACTAAAAAATATTACATTAATAAAAGTACGAAAATAATAATAATGCTACCAAATACATAACGACAATTATTCTGTCATTTGAACTACAAAAAATCCTTACAAATTTACTTCTTGTATGAACCATTTTACCGGAACAGTTTCACTATTTCTTTACCTTTTACAAATAGAAATGTATAGCCACAATGTTTAAAAAAGGTTCTTATTCTTTTACGGTACTTGTGGCTAAACAACAACCGAAACAACATATTTTTTCTTGTCAAACGAAGCTGGCTCATATGCCTCCCTCGTTAAAAGAAATTATAATTCCGCCGTATTTATTTGAAGTAAAAAATAGTCTTCATTTGTCGTTAAAACTAGGTAAAAAACCACAATTTCAGAAAGCTGTTATTCTCTGTTATACCACCATTTTTACGACGGTAACTATATAGGGTTGCGTTGACATTCTTGACCGTCTGCTGCGGAACAAAGGTACGAGAAGTCTTTTGCCCACAATCGAAGGACTTTGTGAGCTTTGTGAGCCATATTATCTCGCAAGTTGCGAAGCGCTATTTCAGTATTTTTGTACGCTACGCGATAATGTTTTTGAGAGCAGCCCGAGCCTTAAGCTAAACATGGTCGCCTGTTAATAGGCATTAAAAATATGATTTGCCGTTCACTTTAGAATTTACTAGATCAGGGGGTCATAGCTTCAAGTCCCACCAACTACATATACTACACAAAATGTGAATCAAGAAGTAATTTTTACACCGTAAAAACAGGAAAAAAATCGGATAGGTTTAATTTTACGCTTATTGCAAATTCTTTCAACCGTTTATACGTCATGTCAGCATTAATTCCATGACCTCACGAATACGGCGTTTCACCTCATGTATTGTTTTTGTCGCTATTTGAAGCACATTGTCCTTTATCTCACACTGACTCATGAGCGTACATCGAAACGGGTCAAATTATCGGGTCCTAGTGACCACTTGATATTAAGCACCGGGAACATTGTTTTGAGCAAACTGATTGCTTTATGTGGCAAATTGCCCCATCCTGCTAAATCCCATGCACACCAATGCTCTCATTTCATTCCATAGAAAAATGTACCCTTTAATAGGTTGATCACGACGTCACGTTAAGGGTGCTGAATCACAGTTTCGTACCATAGCGATATTTTGACTTGTTCCTTCGATTCATGGTCTCTCTCTCAGTTACCCTTATCTGCATGGAGCTCGGCTCGCTCAAGGCAAGCACTTCAGTGCTGACTTCGTTAGTAAGAAATGTCGTCCGTATTTATTTCGATACTAAATTTTTATGAAAAACTATCGCTGCCATCCAAATTGTAGCGTTTATATTGGATCGTTTACAATACTATAACTCTATAGGGTGTTACTCGTTGTGCCTTTAGAAAAACGAGGGGAGGAATACTTAGATTTAGCCTATTCTACATGTATATATATATTATATTTACTTTTTTTGCGTTGGTTTTGGCACAAACTAACAGATAAAAACCACTGGTTGATAGATGAAGATAAAAACTAGACAAATTAACGAGTTATATTTCTCTCTACAGAGATAGTATGTCCTCAAATACAATTCACTAGGGTGAAAAATACGGATATCAATGTTTCAAGTTTCTACAGCAGATCACGGATCTGTGAGGTATATTCTAATATACCTCACAGATGGCCCAGTAGTTTTCCAGATTTCGCTACCCAACATCAGATTTATATATTATCGAAATATTTCATTACGGACATTGTATAACAATGTACGCTTTTCGTTTAATAAAATTCCAGGTATCATCAGAAAGTCATAGTAGGACGCGAATTTCTCATTTTGAATAATGCTAGGGTTGATTTGACTAGTAACACATTGGTTAGCAAATCATTAAGAAGGTAAATATAAATTATAGTACGCTCATAATTCTTACAACTTCTAAAAAATAGACAACTTCCGTTAGAAAACCTAGTAACTAACCCGACGGTCCATTATAAGTATCTTGTGCGGGTACAGTATGGCAAAAAGATGTACGTCGAAATTCCGTAAGTTTTTCCCCACTATCAAATTCTACGTTAAATTCATCTATAATGATATTGATTTACGACACGGGTAGTGATATTTAGGTGCAGGGTTTAGCTAACCGTCGTTGTGAAACGGGGTCAAAAACGTTTGTAGTTTAATGCATTGTACATAATAAATACCGCGTGCTTTAGAGGGTCTTTTTTTTTTTCTCTCTCTCTGCGCAGGGTGTTTTCTGCAAAGCGGTCGGGCTCTAATGGCCTCTCTATGTTGCAGGTCTTATACCTAGTATGAGCGTTAGGTATCCTATTAGATAGTTGGCTTCGAGGACGAAACGGGAATGAGTCAGTGGCCGGGTTCAAATCGGAGTGTCCAAGCTATCACGGGGATGGTCTCTGGCGATATGAAAGCGCTAGAACAGATGCTCTCATGAACCTCATCCATAACGATCGACTTCGCCCCAGAATATATAAATATTTTTGATGCATACATTACGTAACATAAATACTGTACATATATTTTAGTAGTAGACTTTCAAATGGCTGAATGCAAATAAGTGATTATCAAGTGAATATACCGTATTCAAATAAACAATACGTGAAAAAAATATGTTATAAACAAATGCAGGCGACGGCAGGGTAAAAAAAAAACTCCGAGAACTAAGGTGGATAAATTTACCCGAACCCTCCGATACAATGACCCTTTCGTTTAAACACAAGTACACCTTGGCTTTTGGTTACACACTACAATTGCTTATATAAATGATTTATAGAGAACTCTTCAGACACGTAAAACAGCCATTATTTGCTTCGCCTTCCTCAGAGCTATAATTATCGTAATGTGCTTTATTTTTATCTCTGTATTTCCTTCTTATTAGCAGCTGTTAATCTATTCTTTTTGAATTCATGCTGATATGTTTTGTTGTAAAAATCATACAGAGGCCAATGTAAGTGTCAAGTCTCGTGACAAAATTTCGATTCAAACAATGCCCCCAATAAGTCACATTCGTCATTGATGGGCATTTTTTATATGGGCGGTTCGGTACCCATAAACAAAGCGTATAATTATAAGCCTTAAAGGAATGATATGAACGCACGATAACGTAAGATAAAAAGCTCTTTATGCATGGACATACACTTAAAGCACAGCCACGGTGTTTAGACAGTCTAGGTGTTTTTGTTATCTATTCGTCATTATAAATTTTTTCGTAGACTAAATGCGAGCAAGCATTTTCCCCTTTTGAGTCTAAGTGCAACGTTTATCTTAAGGGGCCACTAATATGCTGACTACTTCATCACTTCAGTAATATTATCTTACGACTATTCCGGCGAAGCATATATCCGAAAAATGGGCGTTTGATGAAAAGTACATTCTGTTGTGTGTAACCCATGGATATTATGTTTAAGGATAGCTTATGTACCCGTTATAACCAAACAGAAAAAGTAAAGTAGGTTAATTAGTTATTTAGGACTAAAACATTTCTGCATTCAAACACAAATCAATATTTATTGGCTTTATCTATAGCTTTTCTAAAAGCGCGCTTTTTTTTTGTCAAATGAAAGTTCATTTTAATTATTCAGATCCACTCGATCTCTTTTTTTTTTTGCGTTTACTAGCAATTAAACGCAAACAGCTCCCGCTCGAGGAGCGGTTAAATGAAAAAAATCATTCTAAATAATGTTTGCGTTACTAATTGAGGCAGCTGAACATTGAGACAAGTTCTTATGGCCGCTTTGAAATTTTCCAAGCGAAAGTAAAATGAAACGTGTTGTTTGTCAGCTAACAGTAATAGCAGGATCCCCTTTTACCACTAGCATCGGTAATCAGAATGAGAATCTAGACGAATCACATACGAAAAACCAACATATGGCACAAGTCTGATCCAAGTCACCCGCGGGAAATGTTCCTGGCTGATGCTGCGGGGTATAGATTTTGTCCCGCTATGGGCGCGATGAAAGAAGATATTTATCTGTAATTTTTATAGACGCAGGGTCAAAAATGTTCAAAGCCTTATTTTGCTTCGTTTAGACTTGCCTGACAGAGGGGTGGTTAAAGGAAAGCAGATATTCTGTTGTACACACAATCTGTGTGGAAAGCACAATCTGATTATCTATGTTTTATGAACTTGTGTTTAAGTGACTAACAATCTTCAGTGCCTTAATGGTTGAAACTTTTCCTAGCCATCTTATCGTGCAGATGCATGAGAATTCTGCTATACATTTTAACATACGTTCTATGATCCTCTAAAAAGTCGCTGGCTCCGCGGATGAACCCGAGCATGGCTTATGACGAAGAAACTTCGACTCGGTGGTAAAGACCACTAAACACCTGGACCGTTCTTTTAATTCGTCCTGGTAGCCAGCTGACTTAATGCCCAGTTACGATAATCTCGTTACCTCAATGCCTTTCGCATCTACAAATTGCCGGTATAAGATGTCACAACAAAAACATATATTGGATATAACAATTGCTTTAATATAGTATTACTTGTCTCAATTACATGTTGCTATTCCTCGTCAACGATAATGAACGTTATTGCGAAGTTGCCTTATAAATTGTCTTCTCGCTAGTCGCGCGACGAGGTACAATCACTATGATTTAACATAGCAAGCCTTTAGGCAAGCAGTAGGCTCCTTTTTTTCTTTAACTTTCCTCTGTACCTTTAAAATTCATTATATAGGCAATAATTGATATAAAAGTTGTTCTGAAAATGAAAACATTGAACAGACATTCAATTTATACTAGGTTTTCGATACTTTGATCTCCTACGCGTTCTAGTTATACGTGTGATTCGGTCGTTCCGTTCTGTTGCATAACTGTTATCAGAGGTTCATGTCGGTAAGATCTTCCGATGTCAATGTCCTGACTGAATGGTAGCTTTAGAGAAAAAAGTTTTTCCAATCTACCCTGACGCGGTTTCTGTTTAGCAAACGCTTCTTCTCAACAAATATTTTGGGCTTGGTTCAT